AGCTCGATATTAAAAACCACATCTTTCTAAAATATAGGATGTGTATTTGGTACGTTTAAAAGTGAAAATCCTTTTTCAAATGCGCAATCTGATCCTGAAAACTGAACCTCAGCTTGTTTCCCTGCGTTTAATCCCTGCGTTTAATCCCGTCCTTGGTGACCCATCCAGTACTCCGATCCTCTCCCCACAAGCGCCGTCTTACTTATTGCCTGCCGGGGTCCTGCTCCAGCTGAGTTGGGGCGGTAATACATCCATCCGCTCAGGCTCCTGAGCATCAGCGGCCCCAGATCCCCACAGCTCTGGGGTGAGCGCTCAGAGCTGGTGCCCGCTCCCTAGCACTGCCTCTCGGGCACAGTGAGCTGGCCGCCGTGGGGGGCTTCACCCCCGCCCTGGCATTTCCTTCTAGTCCTCATCTACCTACAGTTACAGGCTGGCCCCAGCCTGTAGCTCCTATTCCTCAGTCCTGGTCCTAAAAATTCCATTTCTCCCACGGTTGCCCTCATTGAAGATGATAAAAAAAATTTCCTTGGGTAAATGCTATTCCTTTAGATATTTCTTTTTTAAATTCTTTTTTTTTTTTTTTCCGGTACCAGGAATTGAACTCATGACCTTGCACTTACCTGGCATGCGCTGTGCCGCTGAGCTAAATCCCCAGCTCTAAATTCTTATATTTTAATATATAAGAAAATAATATAAGTTATTTATTTATTTATTCTAAGACAAGCTCTTTCTCTGTTGTCCAAGCTGGCTTTGAACTCAAGATGTTCCCGAGCAGCTGGAGTATAAGCATGTACCACTGCGTGTGGCTTTAAAAAAAATGTTTCTTATTTTCCTTTGCAGCCAAAACAATCCTTCTTGGTAACCTAGATCATTTTATACCATGATTTTTTTTTTTTTCCCCCAACAAGTCCTGGTATCCAAATCTAACATCTGTTCTGTCTCACGAATCTGAGGCTGGGGGAATAGTTTGGTCATACAGCGCTGGCCTCACACTCCTGAGGCCCCAAGTTTGAACTTAGCACCGCAAAAACAAAAACAGAATGAAACAAAACAACAGCAACAACAACAAAACCAGTTCAAGAATCTAGAAATGGCCAGGTGTGGTGGCATGTGCTTGTAATCCCAGCACTTGGGAGGCCGAGGCAGGAGGATCCCTGAGAGTCTGAGGACAGCCTGGACTACAAAGTGAGTTCAAGACCAGCCTGCATTGCATGGTGACACGCTGTCTCAAAATGACCAAAAAAAAAAAAAAAAACCTGGAAATGTTGCTAATATTGGTATTCATTGCTGCAGAAAATTAATTCCATCTGGGCTTCTCTATGTCCAGACCGGGCAAATTCTTAAAAAGCCTCATGGAATGTTATCAACACGTTCATGGGCAGTGGACTAAACTGACCACTGACCACACTGTCAAATCGAAATGTTCTATATGCAGTACAAAAAATAGCATTGCAGCAGAAATGTGTACGGGTGCTTTCCTTAGAGTGAGGAATCTCAGTGCGTAACTCTAACTTTACCCAATCATGGCTGTACGTCCAGATATTAGCGAAGGACGCTTTCAAATACAAATGCCGAGGCCCCCTTTAGGCCAACTGTGTTGGGGCCTCTAAGAGGACAGCCAGAGCGTCTGAGTCTTAGCTTGCTCCTCGGTGGGTTTTGACAGGCAGGTAAATTACATATGGATAAAAAGAAAAGCAGACAGGTGTGCGCCTGGCTCCCTGGGCTGTTTTACCCGTCTGAAAACGCGAAGCTTTCCCCTCGGCCTCACAGCGATCACGTCCAAACCACTCAGCTCTCTCTTTCCCTCAGTCCTGGGTTTTTGTTTTTTTTTGTTTTCTGGTACCAGGAATCGAATTCATGACCTTGCGCTTGCCAGGCAGGCGCTGCGCCACTGAGCTAAATCCGCAGCCCCCTGCTAGGATTATTTTAAACAGCTTGATGGAGTTCCCTCTTGTGCAGCATAATTCTGCTCTCGAGGGAAATCTGCCACTGGACTTCCTGGCTACAAATTTTTTCCTTCAAGGCCTCCCACAGCGCCTCTTACCTCTATTCCTACTTCCTTCTCTGGTCCGTTGTGTTCTGAAATGTCTGTCCCACTGTTGTATCAGCCCCAGCTTCCTGACTTACATCTTGTTGTAGTGTAGCGGGGAAAGAGAGGCTCTGCCTCATCCTCCGAGGGTTGGATAACTGACTCTAGGAGGCAAACAAACTGCACACCAAGGAAAGGGGAAAGGCACACTTACTCATCATGAACACATAGCATCTCACGAAAGCAAAGTAGTAGCCAGTAACCCAGCACGATGGTCAGCTTTCCGTTACTATAACAAATACCCATCAGACAACAGCAAGAACATCAAAACCAGTTCAACAATCTAGAAATGGCTAGGTATGGTGGCACACGCCTATAATCCCAGCACTCCAGAGGCTGAGGCAGGAGGATTGCCATGAGCTCAAGGCCAGCCTTGGCTACATAGTGGGTTCAAAGCCAGCCTGAACTACATACCAAGACCCAATCTCAAAAAAAAAAAAAAAAAAAAATGCCCATGATAATCAGCCTACAAAGAAGAAAGAATTTCAGCTCACAGTCTGAAGGTCTCGGTCTATGCTTCCAAGATCCCATTGCTTCTGGGACTGTGGTGAGGCGGCATGTCACCGCGGGTGTGCACTGGGGCAGAGCTGCTCAGCTCAGTCTAGAAGGGAAGGAGCAGGTCCCCCAGTCCCCCCAAGGGTCTCCCCCAGTGACCCAAAGACCTCCCGCCACACCCCCCTGTGGTTCTCCACCTCCCAGTAGTGCCAGGCTAAAGACCACGCCTCTAGGGGCATGGGGCCGAAGGGATAGTCCAGGAGCAGGTGACAGCACCAGGTGAGATCGCAGAGCTTGGGACCATCTTCATGCAGGAGAGGGGTAGCCAGAGCCAGTGGTGTGCAAGACAGAGGAACGGGCCCTGGGAGGATCAGGGGACACCCATGATGAAGTCTGACTGAGCAGAGTGCACCCCAGTCTCCCCTCCTGTGATACCCCTCACCTTCCTGATGGCTGGGATTCCTAAGGAGGGGCTTGTGACAGGTGGCTTCTGTTGGCAGGACCTCTCTTTCACCAGGCAGGTTCCTCCTTGTGTTTGCTGTCCCCAGATGCCCTCAGCTGATCACTGCACATTGTGTACCTGTATTAAAATGTCACCCTGCGTCCCAGGAGTACGTAACATTATGCCCACTACAGTTAAATAATTTCAAGTATATCTGTCATTGCAAATGAAGTACATGGTTTATTTTGTCCAATCTAAAGAAGATGGAACGTCGTGAGTTCGGTTCCTGGTACCGGAGAAAAACCAAAAAAAAAAAAAAAAAAAAAAAAAAGAAGATGGAAGGCAGAGATTGCTATGCAAGAATATAATAAAATCTAGTGATATTACTTCCCCCTGCCCCAAATTAGGGATTGAATCCAGGGCCTTTGCACTGACCTATGTCCCCAGGACCCTCTACTTTTTTTTTAAACTTTGAGACTGAATCTTGCTGAATCACTAAGTTGCCCAAGTTGGGCTTGAACCTGCCATCCTCTCGCCCCAGCCTCCCCAGTGGACTGGGGTTACAGGCACGTACCACACCCAGCTGTAATATTCTTTTTAAGAGACACAACTGAAACAGAGAGACAGCAAAAAGTTGAAAGTAAAATGACAGAAAAAGTGAAATCAGGCAACTATTTACCAAAGAAAGCTGGCGTAGCTATGTGTGTAACTTCCCAAAGGCTTGTTACCTGTACATGTGCCGTGGGGACTCACAGTCGTCGGGCAGGACCCCCGCATGGTAAAGGGGGTGCACACAGAGCCCGAGGATGCCCTGCAGGGAAGAGCGTAGGAGGTGTCAGAGTGGCCGTTTTTGGGGGATGAGGCAGGGTCCCACTATGTAGCCCAGGCTGGCCTTGAACTCACAGCGACCCTCCTGCCTCAGCCTTCTGGGGTCACAGGCATGCACCACCACACCTGGCATCGAGTGGAATTTTAAAGGGCATTCTGTTCATTCACCTAGCGGGTAAATTTCCCTGACACCCAGCGTGGCTTCCTATTCTTGACTCCTGATACAACTCCAGTATGCCTAGGACCCGGAGGGGATGACCGGTCTGGGACCCGTGACTGTTCCCCTCGGCTTGCGGCAGCCGGAGGGAATCCACACGGGTGGGTGGCAAGTCACAGGTCAGGCTCAGGCTTGGGTCGGCCTCAGGGATGTTGTCAGGAGGTGAAGGACGGAGGGGGCAGGAGCAGGGCAGTAAGGAACCCTGGAAACCAGGAGCCGCTGGGAGGACCACGGTCAGGTCTGTGAGGGGAGGGGCGGAAGGGAACAGAGGCAGAGCTGTCACTGTCAGAGACGGGCCCATCAGAGACGGGCCCATCCTAGAAGGGTATCGCGGGTAGGCGGAGCATCGGAATCAAAGCACAAGGCAGAGGGATGGCCGCTCCAGCCTGGTCAGCTGTCACAGGGCTGGTGACATGAAACAAAGGAGGACAGGCAGCAGGGGTGGCTTGGGGTCCCCTAGGGTCAGGCCAGAGCCCCTGTCATCTCTCCCAACAGGCCAGGGCTGGTCCTGCAAGGCCCACTGTGGGAAGAAGGGAATCTGAGCTGCGGACCAGACAGACTCCGACGCCACCGCTGCGAGCTGCCGACTGCCGCCCCGGCTTCCGGGTCACCGCCGCTGTGGCTGCCCTGGGGAGGGCGGCGGCTGGAGCACTGTGTGCGAACCCCTTTATCAGTGCTTCTCCCCCACCGAAGGACTGATAACTTGAAAGCACCAGGGGCCTGAGCAAGGACTAACAGTGGGTGCGGGGAGGCCCTGAGGGCCCGTTGGAAGCTCACTGCCTCCCACTGGCCGAGGACAGCTCCGCCTGCCACGCAGAGTTCAAAGAGGCTCCACCCGGCCCGGAGCAGCGGGCGTCTCCGTCCTGCGTATAAAACACCGTGTAATGACTGGTCGGGGCTAATCAAACAGAATGCCCAGCTCAGACCTATTACATTTCACCACAAAAGAGGCTTTAATCAGTCTTTTATCAGCGCAGTGCTCACGACGAAGAAGACCGCTTTTGTCTGCTCTTATAAGAGACAATGGGAGAGCGGGGATCAGCCTGCCCTCCGAGTACAACAAGCGGATTGTCCACACACAACAGAGCATTCAGGGCCATGGGAGAGGACGGCAGGAGAGGCCGCATGAATCTACAAAAGTGCTCACTGTTCACGGTGGCGGCCCTGAGTGTTTAAATTCAGGCCGCATTCCCGCTGGAGCTTCCAAAGTATAGGGAGGACAGACACAGAAAGACCTCAGTGTGCTCCGTGGAAGCCTCGCTGGCTGCGGGCTCCGAGGGACATTCTTGTTTGCCTCTTGCTGAACGGGAAAGGAAAACTGACCTTCGGTTCCGCACTGAGCTCCGCTCAGGCCTCTCGGGGGCAGAGGCGGGCGCCGCGGGTTCGACGCCAAGCGCACCTGTCTCGCTGCCCAAGCACCTCTGGCGGAGAAGGGAGGAGGGAGACAAAAGGCAGCGAGGAAGAGAGCAAAGGGAGCGGCGGCTTTTCACCGATTGGCTCAGTTCTGTCCAACAACTATTTGAACACTCCCGGGGAGGCCAGCTGGGACGCACCCACATGCAGAAACAAACACCTCATCCAAAAGCCGCCCTTCCTGCTTGGAGTCAGACAATCAGAAAGCTGAGGTCTCAGATCATCTTTCTTTTACACCGCCGTGATCTTCTGTACTGTTTAAATGAGGGCATGGGCTACGTTTTTAAAAACAAATAGAAACAAAGAAAATAAGGCGAGAAACGGCCCATCTCCCACGGGCCCCCGCCCCCGCACACCGTGGCTGCGTGGGGACGCGCGTGTCCCTGGGGAAGCGCCGCTGCCATTCGGCGGCACAGGCTCATCAGGCGTCTCCGCAGCGAGCAAACAGGAAGCTCCAGGAAAGACAGCGGCCGCCGAGCGGCCACCTGGCGTTTTAGTAGCAGGCAGGTGGTCCGAGCCCCTATCCTCAAGTGACCACCAAGGACCCAGCCAAGGATCCCTGGGGCCTCACCACTAGGTCTCCCGGGGAGAGGCCAGTCCCGAAGTCTCTTAGCCCTGCTAGGACCAGCTCGGGTTGGGCCCCCTCGGGGACAGGGGCCACGTTAGTGGCCAGGCCTTGGGGCGCCTCATCTGCAGAGTCCAGACTTTGGATTTGTTTGTAAACCAAGGATTTCCCTTCTGCTCTAGAAAGAACTCTGCTTGGGTCTGGGACCAGAAGGAGGAAGCACGGGTGAGGGTAGGCTGGCGGAGGGAGGAGAGCTTCCCGCCCAGGGCCCCTTAGTTCCAGCGAAGGCAGCAGTGACCTGGCCCCGCTCAGCGCTGGCCTTGAAGCCAACAGTGACTGACAGGAGTGACAGGACCCTCCTAGGGCCGGGTGGGAGGACTCCGGGACCACCGCATTCGGGGAACAATTTCTGGGCGTGTGTATTTGAGACAGGACTGCTGGTGCCTGGTGTGGGCGGCCCCTCGGGTGGGTGGGAAGGGGACGGAAAGGGGGAGCCACCGTCACCACTCACTGAGTGTCGCTGATCCCTACTTTGGAACGGCTCGGCCTGCGCACACTGGGTTTCTCTTGTGTGAGAAAAGATGAATAAGGTGCGCAATAAAAGACAGACAACGAGGAGGGGAACGGCTCGGCCTCCACACACGTTTTCTGAGCTGTAATTGCAGTTCCGACCGGTGGTTGCTGTTCTCTCCTCCTGCTGTGGACGATAGGTCACGGATCGATGGCCTGACGCAGACCCCGCCGGCAGCATGCCGAGAGCCTTCCCAGAGCCGATGCGGGGGCTGTGGGGGGCCCGGCGAAGGAGTCAGTGCTTTCCCCGCATGCAGCTGGGAGTGGTGATGGCAAAGCGGTTACTCGCTGCCTTAGATCCATGAATTGGGCCGGTGGGACGCGGTGACGCACCCCTTCTGATGCTCATTGCTTTGTCAGTTGTGCTCGTTCTGACTTTGCTCCTACCGCAGGAATGGGGCTGGAAGCCGTTTACTTCCTTCAGGCTTCAGTAAAGAACGCTGCCTTGGGTTTTCCACTGACGTTCCTGGCCATTAAGCTCTATCCCAAAACATGAAAGCAATTTCCTCTTTTTGGAACCATTATGCGAGGAGTGTCGTATGACAGCCGCCGTTTCTTAAACTAAGATATTATTAAATAAGTAAAGGGTTTTTTTCCGTTTGCAAGGCCAGCATAAAGCTGTTTTTAAAAAAATCTTAATGGGGAAACTGTGTTTGTTAATTCCTTCTCTCCCTCTCCCTCTCTCTCTCTCTTCCTCCCTCCCCACTCCCCCCACCTCCTTTCATTCCTGCTCCTTTTCCTTTCTTCCTCCTTCCCTCCCTTCGCCTCACGGCACACCACAGAGCAGCGGCTAGGAAGTGCCAGGGAATAAGCAGGACATTTAAAAGCCATTACCTCTCTCCACGAAAGAACGCAGTCCTTCCCTTGGGGTTAGTTTTAGCTGAAGAAGAAGGAAACGAACAAATACGTTGGTCACTCAGACTGTGGCTGTGAAAATACGGTCTACAAGAAAAAGGCAGAAGTAGCTGGGTGCGGCGGCACAGGCCTGGAATCCCAGCGCTCTGGGAAGCTGAGCAGGAGGATCTCAAGTTCGAGCCCAGCCTGGCAACTTAGTGACTTGTCAAGATCCCCTCTCACAATAAGAAATCAAAAATGGCTGGGGACATGACTCAGTGTGAAGGCCCTGGGATCGACTCCTAAGGCCCAGGTTAAAAAAAAAAAGGAGAAGAAGAAAGAACAGGAAGTACCCTGTGTACACCTCCCTCCGTACCGGACAGCGGGCTGTTTGCCTGCTTGAAGTTGCAGCCGTGGCTCTAAGCACGCCCTGACCGTCGGCTCAGCATCCCCGTGCCCTCCCCTGCAGATCCCCCCATGCCCTGTCTGGGCTTCCCCCTGCCCGGCACCGCTATCTCAGCCAGCTGGGCGCGGCCTTGCCTCCCGCAGACGCTGGGCTGTAAGTCAGACGGAGCTGGTTTAAGTGTGGTAGGTAGAACTACGTGCAATCGCTGTCTTCATGTGCCAAAGGCAGTCAGATGCCTGCAGTTTCATAGCTCCGCCTACCAGCGATTTCTTGTCATCGCTGTCTCTAAGGCAATGGATTTTAAACGTCCTGTTTATTCCCTGGCACTTCCCAGCCGCTGCTCCGTGGTGCACCGTGAGCCGAGAGGCAGCAGCATGCCATCCCAGGCTGGTTTACCAGGCCTCTCTTAGGCCCCTTTCTGCCAATACTGCTTCTCTGTTGGGAACACCTGAGGGAGTGCAGGTCTAAGCAGTGGGACAGAGGTCGGCCCAGGGAGCTGCCGTGGGGGAGACAAGTGCCATCGGAGGACACCCTCGGTGCAAGGCAGGATGGAGGAGGAGGAGGAGGCTGTGACCTTGGGGGATGCCTTTCCCCAGAGGAGATGCACAGACAGCTCGAGGAGCTTCCCGGCTGGCATTCTGGGAGCCTGGGGCTGTGGGAGGTGCGGAGGGCGGGTGTGGGGATGCAGCTCCAGAAGACGGTGTTGCTGAGGTGGGCAGGGCCCTTGGGCGGCCAGGTTTGGGAGGCCGGGAGCTCTGACAACCAGACACGAAATCAGTAGCTAGCGACACATTTGAAGGATTCCTCCCAGGATTGAATGTGCAGGGGCAGTCGTTGTCGTAGACGTTATCCTCTGTAATACTCGTGTGTGGGTTTCACCCCAGCAGCACCACCACACCACAGGTCCTTGGGGTTAGCGCCGTGTGTCCTCCACCACTTCTCCAGAGCTCGCACAGCCCCTCGCAGACAAGTGCTCAGTGAGTGTCAGTAGACTGACTTGAAGAGAGTCCACTTCTATCCATGGATAGCGCAAAGCTGTGCCAGCCCTGCCCGGGCTCTGCTGTGCCCGCCTTCTGAGGACCACAGTGCCTTGGCCACTATGCTTTGCAGTCTCTACTTCTTCCCGTCTGCTTCTGAGGCTAAAGGCCAGGGCGGTCAGATAAGAGAGGGACACTTACTGCAAAAGCAGGCAGCTCATGGGGCAGGTCACACCTGGGCGGTCGTTTTGACCAAAGAGATTCTACAGACCAGTGAGGTAGACAGGGCCTCTATTGAAGCCTATATTTAGGACTCTCCCCTTGTCAGGGGAGCTGGAGGTGGGGCACTTCCTCTTCGAAGGGGACATGGGCTGGGAAGCCTTCATGGCTGATCTCACCAATACACCGATCCGATCTCTAGCTCCCTAAATATGCCTACTCTCATAATTGTCTGCGGCTGGCTGGAGTCCCCTGAGACCTGAACCCAGGCTCAGCTGTTCTCTCCCAGCTCCTCTCCAGAGGTTGAGAGCACTGATGCCTCTTTAAACTAGAGCACGCATCATACTCACAAGCCAGCAAGTTACCCTGACTCGGCTTCGACGATGCTGGCAGAAGACTAGGTTTGGTGTCAGAGACAAAGGACTCTATTGCTCACCGCTCAGCAAGTAGCACGAGCAGTGGTAGAGCTCCCCTTGCTCCCCAGTCCCATGGGGGCAATGCACCCAGTTGGATGCCCGCAGATGCTGCGGGTTGTAGCGGAGGAACTCTGAGCTCAGGGAACCTAAATCTTCCGTCGTGAACGGTGAACATGCCTGATTTCTGCTCGAAGGTAGACATGCTCTACTGTACTGAATGGTCAGCATGGCCCCCTCCTTCCTGGACAGAGCCACTCTCTCTCCCAAGGCTGTTTATTTATTGGTATTAGAGCTTGAACCCAAGACCCCAACCCTTTCTATTTTTTATTTGAGACAGGGTCTCACTAAGTTGCTAAGTTGTCTATGCTGGGTTCAAACCTGCAGTCTTTCTGCCTCAGCTTCCCAGAGTACTGGGATTACAGGTGTGTGCCGCCATGCCTGGCTCCTGGGCTATTTATTATACAAGGGTTCTGGAATATTCTGAATGAAAGCCAGTAGGTAGCTCCCTCACAAAGTGCACAGAAGTGCAAGCTGTCCATGGCGAGCTGTTTCCTCAAGCTAACCACTGCCCCATCCCTGGGTGTCAGGGCAGGACGCCGGCGTGTTTACTCTTTGTGATGGGGAACTCTTATTCTCTTAATTCTTCTTCCAAGCTACAATCACAAACTTCTAGCTCCAGTTTAAGGTCCCACCCAGAGGTCTTCAATGGTTACATTTAAAATGTCTAAAACTTTATACCTCTTCCTCCCCCAATTTAAACTAGTGAGACAAGAGAAAGGATGATTACCACCGTTTTCCTTGTTTCGCCAGTTTACACCTATGAGTCCTTCTTCATTTACATCTTCTTCCTCGTCACTTGGAATCAGCCAATCACCGAGGTCCACTGACGCCTCCTTGGAAATACCTTTTCCTCACCTTCACCTTGTTCCTGCCCGTTTATATTGTGATTCGCTTAGTTCAGAATTTTAGGCGATCCCCAGACCGCTGGAGGGAGGTCTGACTAATTTTCTAGATTTCTGCTTCTCCTTCATTCCACTTCCTCCTCGTAAGGCAGTTTGACTACCTCACACTCATTATAAAGGTTGAATTGTTTCCCGGGGCCTGTTGGATGGAATAGTCCAAACTTCCTGCCGGCTGTCCTGCTGCTGCGTTCTGCGGTGCGGCCCTGTCCCCCCTCTACCCTCCAAGCCCGTGCAGGACTGCTCCCCACCTGCCCTTCCCTGCCACGCAGAGCTCTGAACCCTCAGCAAACCACTTCATCCGGGAAGTTCTGCTCCCATCAGCTCGGGCCTCACTCATTTCCTTCTTCACTTGCATTTATCTCAGTCCTTAGCCTCATGCTGCCCCATCTGGCTACTCAGTTGTTTTGTATCTTATGTGCCCACCTAAGTTTTATGTTCCCAAAGGGCAAAAACGATCATCTGCATATGTTACGGTTTATATCTAGACATCCCCCCAAAACCTCATGCGGTCACAAGTGGGGCTTTGCAGAGGCAGCTGGGTCTAGAGTATGTGACGCTGGGGTTAAGGATGGGATGCTGGGATGGATTCAGGGTGTCATGCTAAAATGCAGGCTGCCCCACCCTGGGTGTGAATGCTACCCGCCCTGAGCGTGGGGAGCTGGATAGACTATAAGGGGCAGAAAGAGGGCTGCTGCTTTTGCTTGCTGCTGCTGCTCCTGCTTTGCTATTTCTGCTGCCGTCGGCCTGCCATGAACTGCTTCCCCTGTGTGATGCCCCTCTGCCATGCCGCCCTGCCGTGGTCGGCGCAAGCTGACTACGAATTGAACCCTCTACAAACTGTGAGCCACAATCAGCCTTTCTCCTTTAGGGTTGGTGCCAGGTATTTTCTTCTCAGCAGTAAGGAAGGTAACTCAGACAGCACACCTCCTACACCACTTAGAGACTGCTTCGCACAGACCTGGGCAAAACGCAGAATTTGACCTCCCTGCTTATAACCATGAGATGAGTTACATCTCAGCCTCCTTATTTGAAAGACAGTTCCTGCATGACGGGGTTGTTGGAATAATCAAATTAGATGATATGGGGAATGCTTCCCACTTTGTTTGGCATATAGAAATAATGCAATCAAAGTTGACCATGATGTTTGTTTTTTATTCATTTATTTATTTATGTTTGCAGTACATAACGTTTACGCTCCTTGCGTGGAGTTGGTGCAGATACGTAACACATCTTAATCCCTTTTTCCCCTCCTTTCCCCTCCTTCCATCTCTACAGTGATAAGTAAATGAACTAATGAATGGAAAGCTAACCAGATCATCCTGGAAAAACGTATTTCTGCTAACGTTCCCCTGACCCATGGGCGAGGCTGGTGGGGAAGTGGGGAAAAGCTTAGCTTCACCCTTGGCAAGATGGTTCTCTGGGGGAAAAGAGAATCCAGTCCTAGAGCAGAACTGTGGTAGAATCAGTGCGGTGGGGTTTCCCTGTCTTCTGTCTGTCCCCAAGTTTCCGTCTGCCTCTGGAAGGAGCCTAAGGCTCAGGACACGGAGGTGGTGCTCCGTGGAAGCCGCTCGTGTGGCCGTGGGTCAGGGGGAGGAGCCTGTTTCTGGATGGGGTTGACAAAGTTTCCAGGGAGAAGTCAGACAGCCACGCCGCCGGGGCTCCTCTGCCTCTCCAGATGCGACAACAGGAAGCTCAGCATCAGCTGGGTGTGAGGAGAGTTGTCACTGGCTGTGCGAACCACAATGCTGCTTGATGTTTACTGCAAAAAGCACACATTAATTGGCTGGGCAAAAAGGCAAGAGCCCTCTCTTAAAGGATAGAGAGTCCTGGAACTGGGGATGTAGCTCAGTGGGAGAGTACTTACCTGCCCTGCATGTTCGGTTTAGTCCCCAGTACTGTGGGGGTGGGGGTGCTGTAGTATCCCCAACCTCCTTCTGTTAGCAAATTACTCTGATGGTCACTTGGTACCTTTCGATATGTCAGGTACTGTGACAAACAGTCCTCAAAATAACCTGGCGAACTTTACAGTATCCACGTTAAAGAACAGGACATTTCGAAGCAACAACTAAGTTTTGTGTCGGGTTATGCAACCTCAAGCAGAAACATGGAAACAACACCCAGGATTCCGAGGCAGATTTATTTTACCTCGACAGGCACTGATCTGGATCATTCCCAGAATCTCAGGCCCTGATCTCTGGTGGTCTGGGGCTTATATGGGATAAGCAAGCAGGAAGTACAGAAGCAGAATGGCTTGTCAGCTGGGGATGGGGATTTTGGTTCTTACAATATGCATCACGGTGACCAGCTATCCATCGCAGTGACCAGCCTTTTCTAAGAAACAAAAGTAACAGGAACTGTAACCAGAACTATTTACCTGGGAACTATTTAAGAGTAAAGTATACTGGTTGTAGCATCTTCTGCTACAGTTACACGGCTGGAGAGAGACAGAGCCATGGTTCAACCAGGGCATGCCTGCCAGTGAAGACCTGGGCACACTTTCCTCCCAGGCCAGTTGTCAGGAGGATTCCAAGAAGCCCAGCCGGGGACTCCCACTCCCCTGTGCTTCCCACCGCACCCCACTAGCTTCCTTTCCCCATGTGTCAGCCATCACCACAACCGTGCAAGTGAGATGATCAGATGCTTTTCTGAGAGTGGATTTTCTCAGCGGGAAGGAGGGGTGAGGGAGGGAGCCAGCTGTGTGCAGCTGCAGGCAAGCTAAAATGACTTCATTGGGTAGCTGAGGACCAGCTCTTTATGCAACAACTTTTTAAAAAAAATTTTTTTTTTAAATCTACTGCCAGATAAAACTTCAGTTATAGCTTTTCATGTCACCAGGAGGAAAATACAGGCTCCAGCTGAAGCTTCTGATTCTGAATCTATTACTATACTTCTAAAGTAATGTGAATAGACAATAAGATGTAATCCTAAGCACAGTCACTTTGCTGCCTCTGAAGAAATATTGCCTCTGGAAAGGGGATCCCTGGTAGGAAACCAAAGGCATAGAAATAGGTTTTGAGAATTTTGTTCCTAGCTGGAAATGAACCCACAGGAGGGGAGGTTGAGGCCATCAGCTCCAAAGGGCAGAATCCAAGCAGACCGGGCTGGGGTCTCTTTCCTGGAAGCAGGTGGTGGGCCAGAGCCAGGGTAGAACTCCCTTAGGCTGTACAGAAGTTTCCTCTTGGCACTATCCCGGTGCCCCTTACAAGGAGAACCTCTCTGCCCTGGGTGCACAAGATCTCCATTACCCCCAACAGCCCCCCAACTTGGAGAAAGCAGCTTCTAGACCTACACCGTGCCGGTGCGGGGCAGCAGCGGGGCCACAACTGCCGTCACTGCACCACCCCGTCCCACTCGACTGAACTGGAGCGCGGTAGGCAGCAGTGTCAGACGAACTCGATCTGTAAGTGGGTTCTCACTGCTGCGGTGCTTTGTCTGCCTTTCGCTTTGGTAAGTGCTGTGGCCGTTCTAAGGCTTGGTCCCTGCTAATGCAACCTCCTGCAGAAAAAGAGCCTTTGCCGACGTGATGAGTTGTGGTGAGGTTAAACTAGACTAGGGAAGCTCTGCCTGCAGTGGCCGAGCTGTGGAGAGACCCAGGCGCGCAGAGGGAAGCAGCCACACGGAGGAGGTGACAGGGTCTGTGCCTCGCAGCACTGCAGACCGCGGTGGGAAGTGCAAGGGCCCCGGAGGACTCTCCCTGCAGCCCTCCCGGGAGCCCGCCTACACCTCCAGCTGGGGCTCCTTCTCTCCAGAACCGTGAGAGAGTAAATTTGTTTTGCAAAGCCAAATGGCTTGTGGTATTTTTACGCTATCTTGGGAAACGAATAGAGGTACTTTCATGCACATTATCATTTCTTTTTTTCTGATTTTGTTACCTGTGGCATTCTCTGCACTTGTCAACGTCCTTAGCTGCATGACAGCAGCTGGATTAGCACCTGATGGATGGGCACGCGAGTTGGTGGTGTACGTGCACATGCTCTCCATGGAGATTACCTCGATGTTCTCTCTGACCCATTGCTACTGCAAGGGGTCTGTGAATCTGTAAGTCCGTGCGCATGGGCTGAATAAATAATGTCTACCACATCAGCGAACTTCACAGATTTCCTCAGGAGTCATACAAATAAACAGAACTACCAATCAGCAACGGCTCGTACCAACCAAGTCAACATGGAATGAACGTCTGTTAACAGCAAAATACAAGGATTTACAAAAGCAAGGCCCGTTGCCTTCTCTATGTTTCCTGTGAAGAAGTCAAAATCATTTAATCAGCCCAGCCGTGTGTGACAGCACCGCCACAGCCGGTGCTCCGCCGGAGTCAGCTCTGCCCGGCAGTCAGTAGCAGACTTGGGAAGCACACGGGAGATGGCCCATCCCCTGTGTGTATCCCTCGCTGCTGTTGCCGTGTCTGGGGCAAGGGCGCCTGTCCGGTAGGGTGTAAATGGATGTGACTTCTGTGGGTGACAATTCGGCCATATCTATCAAAGCCACCGCCTTTTAGCTGATTAGAAGTGAGGTCCGCTATCCAGACCCTGCTGCCAAGACGGGCCTGGCACCGGAGGGCGCTCGAGGGGCCCACTCAGGCTTCCGGACAGCCCGCCCCTGAGCACAAGGCCCTGGGCCAAGTCCCAGGCCCACAGATCATCAATCAGCGCATCAGTCAGTCGCTCAGCCCCACCACGTTCTCAGCCAGGGAATCGATTACAGGTGGCTGAGCAGGAGGCATGGTGATGTCAGAGGTCTGAGCCTTCTATCAGGCACATGTGCAGTGTCATGTCACAGAAAAAGCCCTGGACCGGTGCTGAGTAACCCGAGCCCGGGTCCTGACGTCCTCTGGGCCCGCACCCTGGCCCCCGTGGCCGGGCCTGAGCCTGGCCCAGCAGGGCCTCCTGATTTTCAAGGTCACGCCTCTGGTTCCTGGAGTGTACTCACCATGTCCTCGGCGCCCATCCCTGCTGGCCGGAAGCAGACACGTGGCCTCCCTAGGGCTCTGGGGACAGCACGTTCCCAGCACGCTGGACTGTCACTTGGCAAGCCTGGCAACTCTGCCACCCCTGGGCGGAAACAGCCCTGTGTCCTCATCAGCTGAGGCCCTGCCTAGGAGGTGGGTCACTTCCAAGGGAGCCCTGGCTCTACAGAACCTTTACTATGAAGGGGGGACTAATAATACCGTGCACCTATTGTCCCGGTCAGAGGAGGGTAATGGGATATTTCTTTGTTTCTTTCCTCTGCTCTTCTCTCATCTCTTCTCTGTCTCCTAGGAACTTTCCCTCCCTCCCTTCCTTCCTTCCTTGGGATTAAACCCAAGGAGTGCTGAGCTCCCTCCCCAGAACCTGTTCTTTTGTTACAAGCTCTCATTTCGTAGTTCAGGCTGGCGTTGAACGTGTGACCCTCCTGCTTCAGGCTCCCGTGTAGCTGAAATGACAGGCGAATGCACCTGCACCACGCTTACAGCGAGAGACTCCTAATCCATCCTTTTCGTGAAGCAGAAACTAATTTTACTTTTATCTTCGTGTTTTGTTGGTGCATGTGTGCCATACCAATCACACTCATCAGGGGCAGCTTGTGGGTGCGCACGCCGTCTTCATCCTTTCTTCCCACATTCCCCTTCCCCGCCTTGACCCTACTTCCCCGCGCTGTTCACCAAAGCTTTGTTTCCATTTTCCCTTCCATTTTTTTTTTCCTTTTCTCTTCCTTCCTTACCTCCCTGTCCTTTGTTCCCCTTCCTATGTGAATGTGTTCCTCCTACTTTCCAATATCTATCCTCCATTTTTACATTTTTTCACACTTTGGGTTTCTCACACAAGAGAAACAATGCAATATTCACACTTGTGTGTCTGATTTATTTCACTTAACAATATGGTCTCGAGATACATCATTTACCTAAAAAATCTCAATTTTATCCTTCTTTATGGCAGAGTAGTACTCCTTTGTATGTAAATATCATATTTTCTTTATCCATTCATCTGTTGATGGGCATCTAGGCTGTTTTCAAGATTTAGCTATTATAAATTGTGCTGCTATAAACACGGGTATGCATGTATCACTGTGGTGTGCTTTTAACACTTTGGGGAAGACACCTAGAAGGGAATAGCTGAGTCACATGGTACCTCTAGTTCTAAGTTTTTGAGGAATCCCCATACTGACCTCCACAGTGGTTGCATTAGTCTGCACTACCACCAGTAATGGAGAAGGGTTCCTTTTTCCCCACAGCCTCACCAGAATGCATTGTTGGTTGATTTCTTGATGATGGCCATTCTTTCTGGAGTGAGAAGGAATCTCGATGTTATAGTTTGCATTTCTTGAATGACTAGCATTTTTTGTATATTTATTTTCTGTTTCTATTATTCATCTGAGAAGTATCTATTCATTTCAGATGCCCAATTTTGGATTGGGTCTTTAAATTTGGGGGGGTCCAATATTTATTTTTTTGTCTTTCTGAGACAGGATCTCACTATGCAGTTCAGGCTGGCCTTAAATTCACTTTGTAGCCCAGGCTGGCCTTGAACTCACAGTGACCCTCCTGCCTCAGCCTTCTGAGTGCTGGGATTACAGGCTTGTGCCAATCCACTCAGCTTGAGTTTTTTATATATTCTAGATATTAGTCCTCTGTCGATAAATAGCTGGTAAAATTTTTTCCTTTCTGTGGGTTGTCTCCTCACTCTGTTGGTGGTTTCTTTTGCTGTGCAAGAAACTTATTTTTAAAAAGGAACAAACATCACACCAGCCTTTGAGGATTCTGTTTGTCCTCAATTTTGAAGGTCC